GGGGGTACTTGGGAAGGACCCAAGGGGTATGCGCGGGAGGGCAGGGATGGAGCACCGCCATCCACCACCCTGCACTGCCGCCTCCCAGGAGCAGGGCCGGGTGGGGCAAAGGCAGTGGCACCCCTCTGCAAGCTACACAGGCCCTACCTACCTGACCAGATGTCTAGTTTGGGGGGAAGCTCGCACGTGGTGGCTGCCGTTGCCACCCACCACCCTATGCTACCACTGCTCTGCATCTGGCTGCATGCCACCCCCTCTCCATGCCCTACATATCCTCCTTCCCTGGCTCCATGTCTGGCCGCTGGGGGTACACTTATTAAAAAAGGATGAAAACCCCTGTTTAGGAGTGAAAAGCTGATGAACATGTATCGAGCAACAGTGACTCCAAGAAGGAACCAGTGAGCAGCAATTTTCTGCTCTGGTTCTAGAGCAATAAGATTTATTTTCCAAATGAATTAGTGACTGAACACTTTACCCCCAGTAACACTCACACAAACCCAATTTAACACCTAATTATTTGAGCTGCTGGTGGTATAGCTTGAGTTAGAGCCCAAGCTAAAACACAACTATTTCAAATAATCAACAAGATGCTAAGCAGTTTCAATATAACAATCACCTTTTTAGCTGGTATATATGGGACTAAGCACGGACCTTTAAAACTAAACACACAAGCTGCAACAGCATGAGCAGAATGGTTGTGTGGTCTGGGCACACAGTGGAAATAGTAGCATATATGGGGGACTTTAACTACTTATCTGTTTATATGTGCAAGGCAGGATGTATAGAGCTTGATGGCAGTGTGGTTAAGGCATCCTGCTATACTTCCAGAAGATGAGAGTTTGAAACGTGCCTCCAGATATATGCCAAAAGCTGTCACCAGTTGACTTGCCTGTAAATGGATACTTGGTCATTCAGGCTGGAGAATCAAAGACAGCTGAATATGATGCTAGCCACATTGCATTCAATTATGTGCCACTGGCTATAGAAACTGGTGTGGTTTATGCCCATTCACACATCCAACAGGCTGCTGGACTTGGGTGGACCTTCAAGAAAAAGACTGTATCTCCACAGATGTTAGGAGAGGATTAGTGTTCAACTGAATTAACCTAATGATATGATTTAGCTGAAAATACCACTTTTGGCAAATAGACTGGCTAGAAAACCTAGTGGCGATGTCAGAAAAAGGACAAAGCATTAATGTTGCCATATTACTTTATACATGTTTTACTATTCACATGCAAGTAAACCTTGTCATTCCACCTCCGATCTTTGTAAAAGGAAACTGCTTGCCCCTCTTATAATTAATGGTAAGAAATAAAGCAAATGAAATATCTACAATAAACTCAAGTTAACACAACGCTATTCTAGTTCTACCCTACAAACCATGGTCCTCATCAAATTTTCTCCAATAAAAGTTGAATTCGTCATAGAATCAGAAGATATTAACTTAAATGTGGGAACATTTACATTTAGTTTCCCATGATATCTTCAAAACAAACTGCTTTTTACTTCAAATAATTTAATCAAGTCACAGTTCAAAATGTTGTTTTACCTGAAACAGTTAATGAAACATTATTTTCTTCTTTCCTTCCCCAGTTTTGATTAACTTTGTCTTGACATTTTCCAGATTATGATACCCATCCCTTGCCTCCCTAAATTCTGTTTTAATAGTCTCACATATTTTCTTCTTGGTCATTTAATCAGAAACAAGCTCCTTAGAGCCTTTATTAGAGTACTCTATCCTTTAGTTAAGATGTAAAATGATCTTCGATGATTGCATCAGGATAAAGGTAGATATAGGCTACCCATTTATTTTCTTATGTTAGTACAGCTATGATTATTTATACCCACTGAGAATCTGGACACCACCTAGAATCTCTTAAGGTATCTCCTTATAAACACAAACCTCCATACAGAAGTGTTCACCTGATTCATATAATTGTTAGGAAAACAATTCCAAGGTAGGCTTGCACAACTGTTCACATAACTTCTCATACTTTCTTTACAGGCACAAATCACATACCTTACTACTTACTTATGTACATATCCAACATGGGCACATAAAGCAGGCCTTTGTATTCACATTTAACCATTTCGGCACCTAACTGCAAGAAACAAGCTCTTGACCATGCACATCATCAAATGTAAACCAACATTTTTGGTCTATGCAAGTGTGTACAATTAGACACATATTTCTAATTTTGAAAAATCTCACAATGTGCTATACAAAGCATGATATATATTTCATATGATCAAGTAGCTATGATCATTACATGGAACATAATAAAACAACTTTTTACAGGTCATAATTTAAGAATCTAATTACAGGTCATCATATGAATATAGGTTTGCCAGGGGATGGAGACCAAAGCCCTGAGGTAAGTGGGGAAGTGGGTGACCTGGAGGAACAGCAAGCAAGATGGGGCAACAGGGGAGGTGTTGTCATTCTTACTGAGAAGTCAGGGCAATCAACTATTTACCTCAGGTGCCTGTACATGAATGCATGAATCCTGGGAAATAAGCAGGAAGAACTGGACGTCCTTGCACAAACATGGCACTATGACATGATTGGAATAACAGACTTGGTGGGAGCTCACATGACTGAAGCACTATTATGGACAAACTGTTCAGGAACAACAGGCAAGGGAGAAGAGGAGAAGGAGTTGCACTTTATGTAAAAGAGCTGTATGATTGCTCAGAGCTCCAGTATGAAACTGGAGATAGGCCTGTCAAAATTCTCTAGGTTAGGGTCAGAGAGGAGAGCAACAAGGGTGATGCCATTGTGGGGGTCTGCTATAGACCACCATGCCAGGAGGAAGTGGTAGATGAGGCTTTCTTCAAACAGCTAGCGGAAGTTTCCTGATCACAAGCCCTGGTTCTCATGGGGGACTTCAACCACTTTGACATCTACTGGAAGTGCAATACAGCAGTGTGCAGGCAATCCGGTAAGTTTTTGCACAGTGCTGGAGACACCTTCCTGGAGCTGGATGTGTACAAGTCCATGGGGCCAGATGGGATGCTCTGGAGGGTGCTGAGGGAGTTGGCTGGTGAGACTGAAGAGCCATTGGCTATCATCTATGAAAACTCAGGGTGATCAGGAGAGGTTCAAGATGATTGGAAAAAGGCAAACATAGTGCCTATATTTAAGAAAGGGAAAAAGGAGGATCCAGGAAACTATAGACCAGTCAACCTAACCTCAGTCCCTGAAAAAATCATGGAGAAGATCCTCAAGGAATCCATTTATAAGTACTTGGAGGAGAAGAAGGAGATTAGAAACAGTCAGCATGGATTCACCAAGGGCAAGTCATGCCTGACCAACCTGATTGCCTTCTATGACGAGGTGAGTGGCTCTGTGGATGCAGGGAGACAAGTGAATGTGGTATATCTTGATTTTAGCTAGGCTTTTGATATGGTCTCCCACAACATCCTCACAGGCAAACTGAGGAAGTATGTGCTGGATGAATGGACTTTAAGGTGGATAGAAAACTGGCTGGAGCATCAGGCTTAGAAGGTAGTAATAAATGGCTTGATATCTAGTTGGCAGCTGGTATCCAGTGGAGTGCCACAGGAGTCAGTCTTGGGGCTGGTTTTGTCCAATATCTTCAGCAATGACCTGGAAGATGGCACAGAGTGCACCCTCAACAAGTTTGGAAATGACAACAAGCTGCAGGGGGAGTAATAGATACGCTGGAGGGTAGGACTAGGATTCAGAGTGACCTAGACAAATTGGAAGATTGGGCCTAAAGCAATCTCATGAGGTTCAACAAGGACAAGTGCAAAGTCCTGCATTTAGGACGGAACAATCCTATGCACCCGTACAGACTGGGGGCTGACTGGCTGGGCAGCAGCTGTGCAGAAAAAGGCTTAGGGGTTATAGTGGACAATAAACTGAATATGAGCCAGCAGCATGCCCTTGTTGTTGAGAAGACTAATAGCATACTGGGCTGTATTGATAGGAGTGACGCCAGCAGGTCAAGAGAAATAATTATTCCGTTCTATTCAGCACTGGTGAGGCCACATCTAGAGTAGCATGTTCAGTTCCCCCCTGCCCTTTCCCCCAGAAAGGATGTGGACCAATTGGAAAGAGTCCAGCAGAGGGCAACAAAAATGGTTTGGGGGCTGAGGCACATGACTTATGAGGAGAGGCTGAGGGAACTGGGCTTATTTAGTCTAGAGAAGAGAGACTGAGAGGGGATTTAATAGCAGCCTTCAGCTACCTGAAGGGGGGGTTGAAAGAAGATGAAGCTAGACTGTCCTCAGTGGTGGCAAATGACAGAACAAGGAGCAATGGTCTGAAGTTGCAGCAAGGGAAGTTTAGGTTAGATACTGTATTAGGAAGAATTTTCTCACTAGGAGGGTAGTAAAACACTGGAATGGGTTACCCAGAGAGGTTATGCAATCTCCATCCTTGGAGGTTTTGAAGACCCAGCTAGATAGTGCTTTAGCTGGGATGATCTAGTTGGGGATGGTCCTGCTTTGACCAGGGGGTTGGACGAGATGACCTCCTGAAGTCCCTTCCAACCCTAATTTTCTATGGTTCTATACTGGGAGATTTTGGTGAGGTGATGTTATGTGACCAGCTCTTTATTTTTAGAGAGAACTGTAATTGACAGAATAAACCACAGGATTACACTCAGCAAGGCATTGTTCTGTAGAATCAACCATTTGACTAATTGCTGCCGCCTCAGTTTTTCAGTAGGATCATGTAATGTAAAGTAACCACTGGAATAGATATCTCCCTGTCAGTTCATAATGAGATAGTAACTTGAAGACAGAACCAGAGTACAGGCTCAGTTTTTCTTCCACTCCTATGTCTTCATTTTTTGTTCTGCCATTGATGTTGCATTAACAACGTCTAACTTCTAGCTCTTCCACACTATACATGGTATGCATTCTTATGAAGATTTCTGGAGTGCAGATATTATTCGTGTAAAAATTATGCCAAAGCATGAGCACAAAACACACAGAATAGAATAAATAAGTTATTGTACAGTACTTACAATTGATCTGATGTTGTTTTCTTTTGCCAGTTTCAGGGAAGATTTATAGCAATTTGCCAGGTCTTCTTTATGAATATCAGTGATATGGCCTCTTGCTATTGGCCCCACAGTATGAATGACATCTACAAAGAATGAGAAAAATACTCACTTTACTCTTTAATATTCATTCTACCATTGATGGTCTTATGCTTCTATATAGCTATTGCGTTATTCCATGTCCTCCCTTACAGTTGTACCTGGGCACCTTTTATATAATGATGCAATAAACGTTTGAAGATACATTTGTAAGGGATTAACTGAAAATGAATGCCATAAAGTTACATTTTAAATTACTAGAACATTTGAGTTAAAGCAGAAATGAGAAAAATGCACTTAGCTCCCCATTCTGTCTGGACAGACAATTCACCCACTATGTTGCACTGTGAGTGAAATGCTGCCATAAATACATTAAGTACATAATTAAGAGCTTATGTAAACACTGAAGAACAATTTGTAATAATCATCTCCATTGCTAAAAAGCCCACCCAGGGAGATAGTTTAAAACGCAAGTATACTCCTTAAAACATTAACATGTGGGAGGTGATACATGCCATCACCTTCTACTAAATGCCTGGTGTCTTTTCTTATCAACCATTAAAAGAAAAAAAAAGATAAGCACATGTCCCTGACTTTTCTGACCTATGAAAGTATTAGTTACCAAGAAATTAGCATTCCTTTCACATCAGGAAAGATCCAACCAGAACATCTGGCAATGCAAAAAATGATATCTAATGCTGTTTGAAGAAACTGCATGTGCGTGTACACACGTGAACGTGTGGGTGTGCATGAGAGAGAGAGAGAATTTATTGGAGAAGATGCGTCTAAATTCCTTGAAATCAGGTGCTACTATCAATCAACAACAAAACCCTTGTTGTTGATTGATAGTAGCAAAATGAAGTAAAAGACTGACATATCAACAAACTAGTTGCCTCGTTAACTTTTTTTTTTCAAATGAGACATATATTAAGTGCAATTACTTTTCTAATTCTATTCTTATATGCAGTATTGAAAAGACACTATTTTTCTATGTATGGCAGATTCTCCCTTACAATCCAGGAAGCCATTTCTTATATACCGCACTCTGCTATGGCATGACCTGTCTGCCTTACTGTGCCACCTACTGTGTCATCTCACACAGCAGCCAATCAGCAGTCAGAGAATGTTCTGACACCACCTGCTTCTTCTTGCCTGCTTCTTTCTTCTAGTGTTGGCAACCCTAGAACTTTTTCACCTAATTATACATACCATGCATATCATGGTAGTGACATGTCTGCCCAAATCACATCTGCTCATTACAGCAATATATGCATGCATCACACTGGAGAGCCTGTATGAGCCAGGTTGAAACAAACCACACCTATATCTACCCTCTTATCTTCTCAAATTCAAATAAATCAGTTGACTTCTGCAAAAAGCATAGGAGTTACCAGATTGTAATTAGACCCAAGCTTCATCTAATCCAATATTGTCTCCTTTTTTAAACTGGCCAGGACCAGATGCTTCAAAGCAATGTGAAAGAAGCCTACACTAGGCAGATGCAGTTTAATCTGCCACTTCAAACATCTTGTCCTAAACCTTGACAGTTAGAGATTGGTTTATGTGTTGAAGCATGAGGCTTTTTATCCCTTGCAAAATTCTTTATTTGCATTAACAGTTATGACTCCAGATATCCTTGTTCTCAATATAAACATCCAATTCCCTTTTGAAATCTTTTCATTTCACTCTTGTTCTGCATACAGCCTCTAACACAGTTTTCCATATGCATTATCTTTAAGGTGTTTTTCATCTCTCATTGCCAAAATTCCACCTACATAAGAAAATACTCATAGGTGGCCCCTGGCACAGACACAGATTCACTAGCTCTCAGAACTTTACAACATTTGCCAGGGTTTTTGCTGACTTCTGCTTCTATCACTTTTTTTGGTTCAACAAATGCAAGTACTTAAAAGATTCCAATATCCATAAAAACAGAGGAATGAGATTTGATGAGGAACTTCATCAATCCAATACAAACCAAACTTGGAAAGATTTACACAGTTTTCCTTCCTAAGTACTATAAAAACCATACTAAGAATCAAACAAGAGGTTAACTATCATTCTTCTTCTTTTAATCACAGTAATTTTCTCTAGTTATAGAGAACAAGACTGGACCGACTGGATAATTTTTGTTGAATGTCACAGCTGCTATATAGCAACTACAGCAAAACCCCTTCAAAAAAGTGAAACATGAAGCAGGCATTTAGTCTTTGCCCAATGACAAGTAGGATGACAACTGGTGATCAAAATGGGTAAAATGGCTTTACCCTTCAGCTCACAGGAGCATAATTTTATATGTGCATGTTAGGGTGTATAATAAATTGAGAACTGTTACTATCTAGCAAAAACAAACAGTATCGCTGGTTCACAAATTGCCTGTGCTTGAGAGATAAGGTTGTGTCAGTACTTCCAATAAAGAAACGCCTTCATTTCAGGTATTTATAAAATGAGATTTTAACCATTTGCTCAGAGTGAAAACTTTACAAATAAAGTTTCTATCTGGCTGTTCTTACGCTTGCTTTTAACCATTGTAATTAGAGAGAAGGCACATGTGGTTACATTTTCTCATCTTTTGTTTTTGAAGGAGACAAGTCACAAGCACAGAGTGGAAGAAGGGAGTATATCAGTAAACCTGCTCTTACTCAAGTCCTTATACATTAAGTGATTCTAGAAGTAAAGGTGCCATAATATATATTTTAACTCATAACAACACATCAAGTAATAAGGAGCCAAAAATTACCAAGAAGCATAAACCTAAAAAGAAATTATAAAAGATGAGTAAGAAAAAGAACTCAAGAAAGGATTCCCCCCAAGGTTTAACGCTGATCCAATGTGCATTTTAAGATACAGCTCCTCTAAAACTAAAATTCAATTTTAAAAAATGAATTTCAGCTATTTGATCAACAATAGCAAGCTGTTTCAGGACTAAAGTGAAAACCCCAAGTTTGTTATTCTACTTTTACTTGTATAAAACTCCTAAAGGACTAATTTTGTTTTCTTATTAAATGGATACTTTATCCTATCAAGTTTTAGGTTGTAAAATGCACAGCTCATCTCAAACACAACTTCTCAAGTTCAATCAAGTTCAGTTTTACTTTTTTTCTTGGAATCTTTGTTTTTTGCACTCCCTGGCATTTTGAGAGGTTTTACTGTGCTTTGTTAACACTGCATGAACGTAGCTCTAGACCAGGGGTGAGCAATTATTTTGGCTGAAGGGTTGCTTAACAAGTTTTGATGAACTATTGAGGGCTGCAAGGGTACACCCCTTGTCAAACTGATAAGCCCTGCCTCCAACAGGTAACCCACCCCCTGGTCACCATCTTGGGAGCAGAAATCCCGCCCCTAGCCCCCTGACCTTTGCCACCAGAAGTTCCTCTCTTTGCCCCTGAAGTACTCCATAGGACCTGCCCTCATGGTGTATGACCTGCCTCTGGGGCCCCAGAAGTTCTGCCCTCTAGGCCACAAGGCATAGACATGACCTATCAGGTAGTGAAGGTTTTGGACCCCTCTAACAACCTGCCCCATCACCCTTGACCAACCAGTGGGGGTTTCAGGGGCATTGGACCTCTCAGAGAATGTCACCAAACTAATCAAGTTGAGGGCTGCGCACATAAAATCTTTCAGAAGAAATCATTTTAACAAAGCATAGATAAAAACAAATCATATAGCAAAAATGAAACATCTACTATAATGTATTTCAATTTTACTTCAAAAAATACTTTTGTCCTGATTGATGTGTGTTTGCATAGTGTATATAGAGTTGACTGTATATAATAGATCAATATAAAGTCTTACTCTTGTATATTGTGAGGAGGGTAGGGGATGTATGTGGGGGAGTATGTGGTATGTGTTTGGAGGTGGGTGTGCATGTGGTAGGTGTGGGGATGGTGGGATGGGGTGTATGGGAGGGTATGTGTGTAGGTATGGTAGGGGGTGCGGTTTGGGTGTAAGTGTGCGTGGGTTGGGTGTATGCATGTGGGGGGCTGCCCAAGTGCTAGATCCTGGGAGCTGATGGGGGGTGAGTGTGGGGAGGGAGGGAGGGGTGGGGGCATGTGCAGCAAATCTTGCTCAGGTGGTGCAGATGTAGTTTGTCCCCCACCACCCTCTGGCCTGTGGCTGCACCCTGGTGCTCTGCATGGAGCCAAGCCCTGCCTGCTTCCACCTGAGGCAGCCTGTGCTACACTCCCACCAGCTCCAGCCCCAGCCAGCTCTGGCCCCATGCTCCTACCAGCCTCGTGCTCCTAGCCCCCAGCTGTGCCCCCCCCCCAGCCTGCTGCTGCTTCTGCTCCCTATCTGCTGCTGGGAATGCTGCAGCAGAAATAGGAGGAAGAGCCACTGGAGGGTGCAGGGAACCAAGCTGTTCCCCAAGTGGCTGCAGTAGCAGCAGCAACAGCCCTGCCCAGAAGATGTACACACTGCCTGGGGCTGGGGCCCTCCGGCAGGGGAGGGTGAGAACACAGCATGCACCACCCTGGGTGGGAGTAGGCAGGGCTCAGCCCCATGCACATTGCCATGGGCCATGCTGTATACAATTAATTGGTGGGCACCTGGTGGGCTGGATCCAGGCAGAAGGCCATATTTTCCCCACCCCTGCTCTAGACCAATGTTTCTCAACCTTTTTAGATTCAAGGCATCCCTCAGAAAATGCCAGCTCTTAGCTTTCACTCAGTTTATCTTATAAATCATGGGGGATCAAACCCAGTTGGGGCCCTGGGCCAGTCACTGTGGTGGCAATGGGGCAAGCAGCTGTGAGCCAGACAGCTGCTTGCCATGAAGGAGGAATGCAAGCAGTGGCGGGCCTGGCAGGTACAGGGAGACTGAGGGCTCTGTTGCACAGCCTTTGATCACCTTCCTGTTGTCACTCGCCTGTTTGCCACTGAGGGCCATGTCCACTGGGATCCCAGGGCCACAGACTCTGCAATAGCCCACTGGTAGCTCAGTGATCCAGATGCAGCAGCTTTACAGGCTGGATCTGGCTCACAGGCCTTATGTTTGACACCCCTGTTGTAAGCTGCATGCGAGTGTTGGCACACCTAACTCTGCCAAT